AAAGTTCTGTTGAATGAACGGATTCACAGAGGAACAAAAGAGTGAGAAGATATTGCAATAATCCAGGCAAGCAATGATGAGGGCCTGAGCTAGGGGAATGGAGAAGAAATCACAGTCTTCAGCAATCGTACTGCCGAGCGTGGGGACAGAGGAGAGAGGAGGGAGTCCAGGACAGCTCCGGGTTTGTAACTTGGGAGACTCTGCGCTTTGTGGAGACGGAGAAATGAACAGATTGTGCGGGATTTTTGTTTTTGTCATGGGAGAAAAATAAAAGGTTTCGTTAGGGCTGGATACATGTCACGTGCAGCCTCCAGGTGGCTGTGACTGACATAATCTGAGCTCCTCTGGCATGTTCCATGTCCCTTCCTGTGCCATCACAGTTAGCTGCTGGGGGAACCAGCCACCTGCTTGTCTTAGACCACATAATGAAAGTTGCTTGGGGCAGGGACAGATCTTCTAGCTCTGTATTTTCAGCCCTAGCAGAGTATGCGACATACCCTCAATGAATGAATGAACGTAATACAAAAAGACAAGCAGGCAGAGGGTCAGGCAGCCAGGAGTCTTGGCAGGAAGCTCAGGGTCAAGGTATCAGCCGCCAGCCTCAAAAGCTGCTGAATTCACTGGGTGAATCATAGTGCAGGCTGCATGTACTGAGAGAGGAGGAGGTCTGATAAGGAAACCCCAACACTGAAAGGGAAGAGACAGAGAAGAAAGATCCACGGGAGGACATCGAGGAGGAACAATCAGAGAGGTACCCTAGAGACATCCATAGACATAGTCGCCGGGAGTGCATTCTACAGGAGCAACTTACAAAAGTGGTTTCATGACCACCAGCATCATCTTTTTATGATGCTAGCATAACAGTGATGCCCAAGCTACTAGGGACGGCATACAGAAAAGGAAGAAAGGAAGAGGGGGGAGGCTGAGAGGGAGGCCAATCTTACTTATGACTATTTGCGTAAAAATCCTAAATAAATTAGTATCGAACAGAATTCCAACAGCACACTTTACAAAAGAACACATCATGACCAAGTGGGTTACAGTCCAGGAATGCGAGGATGGTTAAAGGATAAAAGGAAATAAACAACTTAAAAATCTAAAAAAAGAACAACAAAGTAAACGGAAAGAAAATTAAAGAGGGGAATTATAGAGATAAAAACGTTTTGAGTTACAAAACAGAAGAGCGCTGAAAATCCATACACAAGTCAAAATTAACAACAACGACAAAACAGACAAACCACTAGTTAACCCAGAGGAAGAAAAGGGAGAAATTGCAAACACAAAAATTAACAAAGGAAAATAACTTCTGAACAAGAGGAAATTAAAAACATTCCTAAGAGACTATTTATATATCTCTTTAGTAATCAGTTTAAAAATCCAGATAAAGTGGATAATTTCCTAGGAAAATATGATTCAGAAAAACTGATCTACATAAAGATAGGAAGTTTAAATAGACCAATACCCATAGAAAAAACATAGTTACCAAAGATCTCTTGCCTCCAACACACACACACACACACACACACACACACACACACACTCCTCCTCTGCCCCATCATCACCATCATCACAGGTCCACCCAATTTCCCAAGGGAATTCTATCAAACAATCAAAGACCAGAGACAAGGGCAGAGAGAAAGAAGAAAAACGTCTACATATTTTTACAAAGCGAGTATAGAATTGATATGTAAACATAAAGAGTATTGGGCACGCGCGCGCACACACACGCAGAAAAGGATGGTCATGGTAGCATTGTCATGGCAGCAAAGCTGTAGGCAGCCGACATCCATCAAGAGAAGAGCAGATAAATAAACTGGGATATATTCATCAGCAGTGAAAGTGAACGAACTAGAACTTCACATAACAACATGGGTGGGTCTCAAAAACAATAAGCAAAAAGAGAAACTGTAGGAGGACACCAAAGGTATGGTTCCATCTATAAAAAGACAAAATTAATATGTTGTTTAGGGATACAGACAGGGAGGAAGGAGTTAAAACAGCTGGGCTGTGATCCCTCTACTCCTTTTGTAGTAGTGATGCTTCTGCGGAAACAAAGAAGACAATGACCCCACCTAATCTTTTGTAAAAATGCTAATAACTAGACTACCTAACAAACAGCCTGATGATATTTGCTAAAATGAGAGTTCTTGTTCCTGGAATGCCCTTAATTAGCAGGGTAGGATTGGCTAAGTATCGCCTACACTAAATGAACACAGAATTTATGGATTTATACGCCATGACTCTCTGGACTATGTAGTAGACAGCCTTCATAGTTAGGAAGCAAATTACTCACTGGGCGAGGTGACGCGTGAACCACACTTGGAGACCTCATCTATTGTTCTGGGTCAGAAAGCACATGTCTGATATATGAATAAAAGACCTGGGAGTCACAGGTCTCTGCACCTCTGTATTCTGGAAATGATTAGCCTAGATAGATTAGTATAGCTCTGCTATAGGTAGCAAGACCTCAGATCTGTCAACTCTTATTTGATAATCTGATCCTTTGTGTTAGCTCACAGAATAAGTTATTTTCAGACAAAATTATTTAAAAAGAAAAAAAAAAAAGAGGACAGTGCTGGAAATTAGTTGGATGACACCAGGAAGGGCCATCAAGGACACTTCCGAGTTACTGGTAATATTCCACTTCTTAAATACATGAGTGTATTAGGGCTCTCCAAAGAAACAGAACAAATAGGATATATATGGAGATTTAGTGTAAGGAGTTGGCTGACATGATTATGGCAGCTGAGAAGTACCAAGATCTGTGGTCCAAGTGCCTGGGAACCAAGGGAGCCAATGGTGTTAGTTCTAGCCAGAGGTCAAAGGTAAGAGGCAAACTATGTCCCAGCTCATTACCATCAGCAGAGAGTGAATTCTCTCTTGCTCGGCCTTTTGTTCTATTCAGGCCTTCAGTAGATTGAATGAGGCCCACCCACATGGAGGAGGGCAATCTTCACTACTCAGTCTACCAATGTGAATGTTAATTCCATCCAGAAATACCTACAGAGACACAGAATAATGTCTGATCAAATATCTGGGCACCCCGTGGCCCAGTCAAGCTGACACATAAAGTTAACCATCACAATGGGTGTTTGTTTTCTTGTTCTTTGAGTGAAACATATAATCTACATTTGTGAATGATATGTACTTAATGTTAAAATATTAAGCAAATGGGGCTTCCCTGGTGGCGCAGTGGTTGGGGGTCCGCCTGCCGATGCAGGGGACACGGGTTCGTGCCCTGGTCCGGGAGGATCCCACATGCCGCGGAGCGGCTGTGCCCGTGGGCCATGGCCGCTGGGCCTGAGCGTCCAGAGCCTGTGCTCCGCAACGGGAGAGGCCACAGCGGTGAGAGGCCCGCGTACCGCAAAAAAAAAAAAAAAATTAAGCAAATGCCATTTGACAAAAGGAAGACGGTGAACACAGGACATCTTTTAAAACGTTTGGCATGAATGGAAAGAGGAAGATGGGGAGGTAGCTTGAGAGTCAGGTAGACTGGAGAGAAAGTAGTCTTCTGGGGGAGGTATCCAGGCTACTTTTCAAAATGCTCTCCCAGTTGGTTCACTAGTAGGCAATTCACCTGCATTATGCTATCTTCTGATATACACTGACCACACAGAATCCAAAGCTATGATAATATAAGCCCCTGGTTGAGCAGAGTCTCAGAGATTGGAGCTCTGATCGGGGGAAGGGGGTAAAGAAAGGGAGGTATATGTACTGGGAAACGTCCTTCTACCTTGATGTGAGCCAACTGTCTTTAGTCCCTTCCTTCTCCATCTTTAGTATTCTTACTTAATTCCTACTTTATCCTGTCTCTTAGGAGCCATGAGAACATACTCCTCCACCACCCACTGATAATAAAACATGAAAGTGTGAGCAGATTACTGGGTAAGTGAGGCTTCATTAGAGGAGAAGATGCCCAGAGCAGGGGCAAAAGAGCTGGCCAGCTGTGGGAAGCTTTAGGCTCTGACAGCAGATCTCTCTGGCTCAGTTTCCACTGATTTTTCCTAAGATCATACAAAGATAATTCTGTTCTGTTCCTCAGCTTGTCACTTATTATGACAGTAACTTTAAGGAAGTAATGAGTTACATGTCAGTTTCTCCACTTCTACCCAGTGAAGATCACAATGGAGCCATTCAGCTGGGAAATATCCCTCCTAGGACTCTAGCTGTGCACACAAATTTATGAATAAAGCTGTTCATTATAACAGCATTTATCATTTTCAAAAACTTGGAAGCAATCTAAATCTGAGAAAACAGGGACTGGTTATATGTATTAAGGTACTTGCATACAGACAGGCTATTATGTTCCTAATAAAATGAAATTCTTGAAGACGATTCAATGACAAAAGTAAATGGTTCCAAAATATTTACTAATAAAGATTCAGTACACAACACTGTATACACACTATTATCTCCGGAGTTAATAGTCTATGCATTTACAAAAAAGACTAGAAAAACAGACCAAAATGTTAACCATGGTTAGTAATAAAATCATGGGCGGTTTCTTTCTCTTACACTTTTTGGTATTTCCCAAATAGTCTTCAATGCGTACATACTTTTAGCAAATAAAAAAAACCCACCATGACAAGGTGAGAGAGAAAGCAGAAGAAAGTGAAAAGTTTAGTATCTTTAATAGCACTTTTTCCCCGCATTTTCATTTTGCACTGGACCCTACAAATTATGTAGAGCCCTGCCGAAAGTTCCACCCCTATCCGAGGATAAGAAACACGATCTGTGTGCCTCCTTCCCCACCACCCCTCATTCGGAATGAACGTTCCTTAAAATAAAATAGCAATTAATCAATCTGGGCCCACCCTTAGAGTTTCTGACTCAGCAGGTCTGGGGCGGGGCCTGAGAACCTGCATTTTGGCAGCTCCAAGGTGTTACAGATGCTGCCACATCACACTCAGAGCCACTGGTCTAGAGTATGTTTCCCTCAGCCTTTGACGCTCGTGCAGGCTGTATGAGGCCCTACAAAAGGCATACACATATCCTGTTACCTCATAGATGTTCAACTGCTCCACCAAGTCCAGGTCAGTCCCTTTCTTGGTCAAGTGCCGCTGGGACACAGCTGCAATGCCCAGCTCCTCCAGGCAGTCCACCACATCGTAGAAGGTGTCTTGGTCTGGCAATCCTGACAAGGTCTGGATGGAGAAAGAAAAGGACACAGACATGTCTTAGGGGACAGTCACAAGCCTCTCAGGGCATTTTTTTGCATGGTAGCCAGCGGCCACGAGTATAGCAATGTGGGGCAAAGCAAACAGATGCTAAGTTCATTTGAGAAAAAGCTTCTCCAGTGTGGTAAGCAGAATGAACCCCAATATTCCGCCCCTGGGATACAGGTGCTATACAATTCCCTCCCCTTGAAGGTAGGGAGGACACTCCCATGATCAGGTGACATTATATGGCAAAGGTGAAAGCATTCTACAGATGTCATTAAGGTCCCAAATCAGTTGATTCTGAGTTAATCAAAGGGGAGAGTAGCCGGGTGGTCCTGACCTAATCACGTGAGCCATTTAAAAGTGGGTTTAGGCCTTTTCTGAGCACAGAGACTAGAAGAGAGATTATCCTGTTGTCCCAGAAGCAGCAGCAAGCCGCCATGAGTTCCACAGCTGCAAGGAAATGAGCTCTGCTAACAACCACAGAAGCTTGGAAGGGGACCCCAAGCTTCAGACGAGACACCAGCCCTGGTTGACACCTTGACTGCCGCCTTGTGAGACTCTTGTGAGCAGAGGACCCAGGGAGGTGGTGCCTGGACCCTGCCCCACAGAAACTGTGAGGTGATAAGCCTGTGATGTTTCAAGCTGCTAAATTTGTGGTAATGTGTTCCATGGCAATTGAAAACTGACATACTGAGTGATCAGAAAAACTCCCGTTAAGATTGATCTACCAACAGCTGGAGTGATGACAATTGAATGACTCCCTTATCTTTCAGTTCGGCAGGCCTTCCCCTTGGTCTAAGACATTTAGGAAAACATGAGAAATTTCAAAGCGGCAACCAAGAGACAAAAAGATAACCCAAGAAAGAAAAAGCTGACTTCTCTGTGAGTTCTGCTTCTCTTAAAAGAAGGATGATAGCTCAGATCAGGCCTCTGCTTAGAACCGGAAGGACCCTTGAGGTGATTTACTCAAAAGTCCCTTATCTTATAAACGAGGGAGATGAAATCAGGGGAGGGAAGGATTCGCCTGAGGTAACAGGAAGTTACTAAATAATAACTAATAAAACCCTGCGCTCAGACCTGCTATTCCGGTCTCCTTTCCTCACACACCTGTGCCTTCTACACAAACTACTCTGGCCTGAAATTTCAAGGTCTCGACTCCCTATTTATTTCACTATTATTGCATTTCAAAAATGCTCTAAACATGGTGACTTGCCTTGCAAGAAAAAAGACCAGTGCTTTCTTAAGGATCATCTCACAGCACCAACTTCTTTTAACACTTCTATTTTGGGGCTACTAATATTGGAAAGAATGTCTCTACTCATAACCCAAATAATGGCTGTTTCCCTTCTATGCTGAACAAACAGGATACAACTCACTGCTGTTGAGACCAGACACTGAAGAAAAATAACTGGGATGCGACAGCTTAATCCATCAGGGGCCCCAGCAAGGACACAGAACAGGAGGCTGTGAACCAGTCGGCAGCTGTAATAAATAAACAGGTGCTCACACCTCAGTGGCCAAGTGTGGAAGCACACACAGGGGTCTGCAGATGCCGGGCAAGGCAGTCACTGCTGCATTAGCAGATAGCAGTCCACTGAGTTAACTGAAAAAGTACACACCTGTCCAAAGAACCCTCTCATCAGAACAAGTCCATCTTTTGGTTTTAGTGAAAACTCCAGAACTTGTTAAAAGATGAGGAGAGGGAAATGGTGATAGAAACGCCAGGGCAGGGCTAATGACTGGAGGTGCCCTGACTGACTGCTGACCTGCCAATCACAGGTGAGTAGACATTCAGGGCTAGATTCAAAACTTTCTACACCGCAGTGTGGGGTGGGGGGTGGGGGGTAGGATGGGCACAGAGAGGGGCCTCTGGCAGTCTCCTCACCTCCCCGTTCCCCTCCTTTCTTCTTCCCTATTTTCCCTGCTGAGAGTCAACTGAGGTTCCTTCTCTCAGAAGTTTCCAGGAGGTTAAATTCCTGGACCTAGTCCCCATTGCCTTAGCAAGCCCAACCATGATGGGCTGGTGGGGAGATTTCTATTAAATAATTAGGTCTGTAGAACCAAACAGGTCAGAGAGCCCTCGCTTAATAAGAGGCCCAGATCTGAGGGTACTGACTGACAGGACATCTGTTATTTCCACGGTGAAAATGTGGGCTTGAGCCACACCCACGTCCCACCACCTCTCATGGGTGGCTGCAGGGGAGCTGGCCTTCCACCACGATCAAAGACAGCTTCTCTAGTCCATGGCCATACCACCCTGAATGCACTTGATCTTGTCAAGGACAGCTTCGTTCTCCGCCTGCACGGGGAGGGGACTGTGCAGCCCAGAAACACACTCACGTCTTTTCAGCTGATTCTCTGACACGTTCAGCAAACGCTGCCACACTCCCACCCCTCCTGGGCCCTGTCCTCCCATTTCTACCCTGACGACCACTGCTAAGGTGCCTATTTCTGGCAAAGGAGGCAGCTACTCCAGAAAAGTCTATGAGCAAATGTCTCTTGACGCCTTCACTGTCAGATGACACTCAGGACCTCCTTCCTGGTTTCTCTCAGACCTTGTCTTGCCAGGGTTTGTGACAAGTAAATCTTTACAGCCTCTCTCAGAGGGAGAAATCTCTGTCCTAAAGGACATTTTATTTTCCAGTCGCTGGGTTTTCACTGATCCCATCAAATCTTTCTTGTGGGGTAAAACCAGTATGGTGAAAGCCTGTACACAAGGGTTCATAGCAGCAGCATCTGTGAAAGCCGAAAGCTGTGAGCACCCAAATCTCCTTCAGTAGATGAAGAGATAACAAATGGTGGCATATTTATATTATACAATGGCACACCATACAGCAGCAGAAAGGAGCAAACTATTAATACGCGTGGTAACACAGATGAATCTCTAAGGCACTGTGCTGCGTGAGAGAAGCCAGCCTCGAAGGGTCACATCCTGTATGATTCCCATTTTTTAAATAATAGAACTATAGTGATAGAGAATAAATCAGTGGTTGCCAGGGGCATGAACAGGTGATCAGGATGTCATTATAAAAGGATAACATGAGCGAGATTTGAGGGGAGATGGAGCCGTTCTATATGCTAATTGTGAAGGTTATCCATAACTATATATGTGTTAAAACTTACACAGCTAAATACCAAGAGAAAAAAGTCAATTTTACTATATGGTAATTAAAAAAAACAATATAATCGAATCTAAAAACAAATGCTCAGTGTGAATCCCATCAGGTAACTCACCCGCTGGCTCCGCTAGAGCAGCTCCCCTCCCCAGGGCTCCCTGGGGTCACCTTCCCTGACCGCTCCAAGCCAGCCCCATGGTAATGGCTCTTGTAACTCATCCCCCGCCCCCCACCTGCTTCATCTGATTCTACAAGGTGGTCAATATCTGAGCCCCCGAAGCGGGGAATCCCACCTAGGAGATTGCAGCTGGATCAGGACAGGGCACCACGCAATTTCAGCTTGCAGGGTGAGAAACGGTTCGTTTCTGACGCTCCCTCAGATCTTCTGAAGACATGGTTTGGGGGTGTGGGGAGAGTTCAGGGGGGTGTTATTCTGGATCCTGGAACCTCTCATTAATCTCCCTGTTTAACAAGGGGAGCAGACTTCAGTTTCAGAACCATGAGCAGGCTAGAATTTCATACCCTTGTTTTGTCATAAAAATGTTAATGTTTTGAATTCCATGTTATTAGGCCAGCTTCCATCTTGCTGAAAGAAAAGTTAGAAAAGCAGTATAATTTCCCACATTTCAGAGTCTGAATTTTTTCCAGACCCGTATTAGCATTTCAATGTGTTATGATGTTTGGGATCTCAGAAGATGTTACTCACTGGAACGATAAACGTGACTAAAATTCAACAACAGAAAACAAACCCAGTGTGGGTGCCCGCGGCCGGCTGACCTTTTTGAGGAAAGGATGACACTTAGAATCATATCCTCAGGACCTTCCTGGCCCAGAACAAAAGATGAGACGGAACTGGCAGAAGAGAAAGAGTAAGTGAGGAATTCCTGGACGTTAGATGCCTTATGGTGCCAAGGAGAGTGTGACACGTGCTGGGTCCTTGCCAGTGATTGGCAGCAGGATGCCCACGCCATGCGGCTGCTGCTGGGATCGTTACACAGCCAAGCGTGGCCCCTACCACTAACGTGGAGAGCATTACAATGAAAACACTGTGCAAGAGTGAAAATGCCATTTCTGCTGAATTTAATGTTTTCCGAAACAATGGCAGTGACTGAAAACGACAGGAAATAGGTGACCTTCATCTTCAAAAAATTGCTTTCAAATTGCATGGTGAAATCAACTCACAAAGAGCTTTGAAAATAAAAACCGAATTCTTAGGATTATCTTCCAGAAAAGTGATGCCCATTCCCCACCAGGACTGTAGGAAATTTCCTGTGACCTCATCAACAGACGGCATTTCATTAAAAAGCAATCCCTGCCCACGTGACCCGGAGAAAATGGCTTGTTGTTTTACTATATATTTCTTTTAATCTTAGTAGGGTTAATGTCATTCATTTTTCAACTGAGTTCTTAATATATTTTTAGGATAGTATCATTTCCTGCCCAGTTTTTTGCAAACAATTTCCCAGTTTGTCACTTGCCTTTAGTTTTTGTTTTGGATTTCATTTTACAAATAAGATGTTTTATAGTTTATAGTTTTATACAGTGAAATATTTAAGTCCTTTGCTTTGGAATCTTTTTGACTGGTTTTACTATTTGGCAACTAGAGACCAGTTAATCTTCACCTCTAGTTTTTCCTCAGTTTTCTACAGTTTGATATGTTACACTCTTTAATCTACCTGAAATTTATTTTGGTATACAGTCAAAGTATGTTTTTGTTTATTTCCATTTATCAAAACCTCTCCCAGTCATGAATAAAGCTGACCATCCCTATGGATTTCAATCACAGGGTGAGCCGTCCTGTGCATTGAGGTCTGTTTCACAGCCCCTCTGCTTCAGCCATCTGCTGAGGAAAGAGTCAAGACCACATTGTTTTAATCCTTAGAGTTTGCACAACATTTTAATATCTAGTAGAATTACTCTTCATAATTATGTTGCTTTCTACTAATTTGTCCCCAGTCATCAGGGGAAATGTTTCTCCAGTTACATTTCAGGAAGAGATTCTGGGTCCTTTCTGAAGAACTAATGATCACTGCAGTTGGTCCTCAGGCTTGCACCCGGCAGCCTGGGGCACAAAAAGGAAAGATCTTGGGGTGGCTGATGTAGCGTCTGGGGTCCAGGGAAGAGAAACAACCCCACCCTCCCTCAATTATTAATGAGGAAGGGGCCCAAGCACCGGGATGAAGGAGCTCCAGTCCTGAGAGTGGGCTGTCCCAGGTCAGCATGGGACCCACGGTCAGAGCACCTCTCAGGACGGACACAAGCTGGTGACCAGGGAGGACGTAATGGGAGGAAAGGGAGCACAAGGGTGAGGTCACCATCACAGGAGGAGGACGGGGCCCGCCCTCAGGAATCCATACCTCGCCCCCAGCAGTCAGAAGTCAGTAAGCCACGGAACAGAGTGCTTGCTTTTCTGTCTGATTGTGAATGATTTCCTTAGAGTAAAACTTGCTAATCTATATTCTTAAGGAAAAATGTTTTCAAGGGGACATCTTGATAGGACGAGTAGCCATAAAATTCTCGCTACCCTCTCTCCGGTTTCATTGGAAAGAACCAAAGCACAGAAAGCATGCAGACTCTCAGGCCTTCACAGGTATGAGCACCAGCACACATTGCACACATGCCACACGTGGGTGTAAAGGGTTTTCTCTTGCAAAGAGGCATGCTGAAGGGTGTTCCCGCCATGGGGGTGCACACGATGTGCTGCTTCTTCAGAGGGCAAATTTTAGATTTTCACATGTACTAGTTCCCTAGGGCTGCCGTAACAAAGTACCACAAACTGAGAGGCTTAAAACAACAGAAATTAGGTATGGAACTTGGTAAACTGTAAGCTGAAGACCAATCACATTTGCTACACAGGCTGCCTGAACACTGTGATCATCTCTCCAGATGGATCCCTCCGTGCTTCTGGAGGCAAGGGTGGCCAGGCCAAGTTGTGGGACCTCAACGAAGGCAAGCACCTTCACACGCTAGATGGTGGGAACCTCATCAACGCCCTGTGCTTCAGTCCCAAATGCTACTGGCTCTGTGCTGCCGCTGGCTCAGCATCAAGATCTGGGACTTGGAGGGCAAAATTATTGTAGATGAATTGGAGCAAGAAGTTATCAGGACCAGCAGCAAGGCAGAACCACCCCCCAGTGGACCTCTCTGGCCTGGCCTGCTGATGGCCGGACTGTTTGCTGGCTACATGGACCACCTGGTGTGAGTGTGGCAGGTGACCCTCGGCACCCACTAGAAACATGGCAGAGCTTTAAAAATAAAAAACTGGTTTTCTGAAGAAGAAAAAAACCCCAGAAATCTATTCTCTCCCAGGTGGAGAGACTAGAAGTCTGACATCAAGGTGTCAGCAGGGCCGTGCTCTCTCCGATGGCTCTAGGGTAGGATCCTTCCTTGCTTCATCCGGGATTGGCTGCTGACAACCCTTAGCATCCTTTGGCGGTCCTCAGCTTATAGATGTATCACTCCAATCTCTGCCCCTGCTTTCACTGGCTGTCTTCCTCACGTATGTGTGTCTAACTTGTCTTCCCTCTATGTGTATCTCTTTTCCTCTTCTTATAAGGACACCAGTCCTATTGGATTAGAGCCCACCCTAATGACCTCATCTTAACCTGATTACATCTGCAAAGGTCCTATTTCCTAATAAGATCACATTCACAGGTACCAGGGGTTAGGACTTCAGGAACACATCTACAGGAACACATCTTTTGTGGTGGGGGGACACAGTTCAACCAATAACAAACATCAACCGACCTTGTTCACTAAAGTCATTGCATAAACCAGCAACTCCGTGTCGACCCCATCCTTTTCCTCCAGGATTTCCATGATATTTGACCAAGGTTTGACTCCTAGGAATAAAGCAAAAATCATTAGAAACAGCAAGTCAACACTCCTTGTCCAATTCACATCACAGTTTATCCAGAGACTTATCACCCAATGATGGCAGTGCCTTTCAGTCACCACATTTCAAAGCATGACACAATTCTTAGGATGGACTTGAATATGTTTCCAATTAGGTGACGATATACCATGTCATCCTTGTCTACTTGAAAATGTATACTCTTCAGTGTCAGGATGCCTATCAGTTTGTTTGAAAAGTTCCCTTTATACTAAATAGGTGGTTTTTAAAGAATCCATTCACATGCAGCTTTTTTTAGACCATGCATTTTACTCTCCAAGTGTGGACATTCTTTGTAAGTACTCTCTGTATGTCCATCTCCTGCAAGGAAAGGGGACACAGGAGAGCTTTACAGTCACTCTAGCAATGGACTTCAAACAATAACTGTGGAACGTCCATCTAGCAAACATTTCAAGAACGGAAGTATATTATATTCAATCAAGGCACAAATAACTATTTAAACATCAACCAGGTACCAAGGAACTGGGTCTCTGGGAGTCTGTCATCAAGAGGTTATAATCAAATGGAACAGTTAGGCATAAGTACAGGAACACACCTCAGCACAGGGTAAAAGCACTTAGAAGGCAAAGCGCTTAGCCAAGCCTGTCACTCAGCAAGGGAGGTCTGTCTCTTGCAGTGCGATGGTCGAGGAAGGTTTGGTGCAAGAGGTGACTCCTCAGTGGAGCTCCTGTGGGAGGCTCCTGGAGGCTGTCCCGTGGCTCCAGGGAGGGCAGGGAAACCCTCCACGTTCAGGATCGCCAAGCCAAGGCCAAGGCCACAAAGGGTACACGACATCCTGCTGTGATTTCCTACGCTGGAGATAAACATATGCAGCGAAGTGTTGCCTTGCCCTTGGCGTGGCAGTGTGGAACGTGCAGCTCTTTCCTGCTTTCTCTATAAAGATCTCAAAGGGATATGGCTTATTTTTGCTGAAAAAGTAAAGTCTGAAATAACCTAAAACCAGTGGGTTCCAAATGCTGATTCATGGATGGGTTATGTCAGAGCTGATTTCCTGGCCTTGAGAACAAAAGCTCCCCAAGGGCAGTGATGTGTCCTGTCTTATCTCTGTGCCCTTGACAGAGTACCCGGCACATAGTAGGTGCTCAATAAAATGTCTGACTAGTGACTGGAGACCCCTGAGAGGGCATGGGTGGGTTAAACTGGGGCAGTTTTAAAAGAGCCAGAGGGTTAAATGCACACAGTAAGAAAAGAAGAGAAGACAGGAGAATTTTAAAAGGAATAGGCACCTACTATACAATGTGAAAGACACAGATGTAGTTTGATGTACAGGTCTGTTGGTGCTCCCAGCCAGGGAACAAAAAGCCTTTTCCTTTGGACTAGCTGCCCAGTTGGTCCAAACTGTGAACCTATGGACTAAGCTTCTATGACCCTTTGTTATTGTGAACACAAAAGCATGATCCTTTGCCTGCTAACTGTTGAAAATTCTTGAAATTCTTGAAATTCTTGAAAATTATCTTCTTGCTGATCTTTATCATCAAACTATTTTGAAGTCCACACCTGTTCTCCAAAGCCCAGCGAAGTAACTGCTTCCGCCCTCAAGACAATCAGTGTGGTCAGTAGGTCATGGGTCTCACTGTCCAGGAATCGGTCAAGCATTCCAAGTGCCTTTGCTCATGTTTATAACAAGGACAACTTCCGTCATTCACACTCACACCCGACCTCAGTACAAAACACGAAAACACGAGTTCTACTGGGCTCCCCACATGTGCGTAAAGAAAAGCCTATGCAAGAGGGAGAGCATCAGTGCGAAGGATTCCTAGTGGGGCTCGGGGGTCCAGAACTGCTTCCTGGTTCCTTACTTTGGGGTCACACATGTCAAACAGGGCCTGGGGAAGGAAAAGCCAAGAAGCAACCACAGGCATCCCAGAGAGAGGGTTGTACCTGGACTATCTCCTCTCTTCCTCTCTCTCTCATGCAGACACACATATCTGTGCACTAGTTTATCCATTATAATGAAAACACTCAAACACTGGTTTAATTAAAAACCGTGTTCTTCAGCTGTAATATCTGACTCCCTTCTTACCATTTAAGGATTTCAAGACTGGAAATTTGCATGTATTCATACACTGTTGGGATAAATGTTCACTGTCCTTTGACTGTTTGGGGACCAGAAAATAGAAACTTTTTAGAAGAATGAAGGGGAAGGGGAAGAAACCTTCTAGTTCAACACAAATAGCCCTGGCAGGGCTCCAGCTGGCCTGTATCAAGCACCAGCAGTCTTAACTGTCCCAAGAGCTGCCACCTGTCAGAACTAAATGGTCCAGTTCACCCCTACCACCATCACCTTTGTTGCTCCATTTGGGGTTTACGTGTGTGTATGTGTAGGTAGGGGATGGTCCTGTATTAGAATCATAAACCACACGATCTTCCCCCTTCACATAACAGAGAACGAAACCAAGCCCCAAAGTAGTGGAATGAACAGAGGCTAGAGAGACGCGTCTAACCTGGAGGGATCGGATCCACCCTAGAGGCTCACTGTGAGGTGTCACGGAGGTAGAGCACTTTGTCGATTCTCCTGAGCACTGATGGAGAACGTCAGGAGACAGGAATTTCCTTCACCATTATCATCCGTCTCCCTCCAACTCCACCTCCCCTTCCTCCACCCCAAACACCGCAGAGAGTGTAGGTTCCATGACAGCCTGGCTTTTCTCTGATGTTTGCAAGCACGTGGTTGGCACTTATAAATTCGTCAAACAAATGAGTTTTATACGAAGAACGCTTAGGACAGCGTGTGTTGCGTGGCAGGCGCTCGAACAGCCGTAGCCGCCACTGCAGTGGTGGTGGGTGGAGGACACCCACATGGACCCATAGGCCTTCCACACGGGCTCCCAGGCCAGAGTCCTCCTCCCACCAAACTGCAGCACTCCTCCCTCAACCCAGAATAAACCGCTCAGCACTTCTCCCTCTTGCTCTCCCCCCGAGTCTCTGTATTAAACCCAAAAGAAAAGAGTAAGCTATTTTGCACGATGCCTTGTACACAAGTTGGTCTAACGCTCAAATACAAAGTCCCAGCAGCATGTTCCAAGCCTTTCAGCGTGATCAATGAACACTTAACAGGTATGCTTCTGCTCTAGGCAGCAATGGAAACAGAGCTTGAGTTCTGCCCACTCTAACCTCCACCATGCTCTGTGCGTTCTTCACAGAGCAATGTATCCCTGAGCGGAAGTCAGAGATGGGATCGCTTGAAAAGACGGCTGGATTCTTTTTCCCCTGTTAATCATGTGTTAGACACATGTTTAAAAATTATGTCATATCTCATCACCTCACATTCAAATGAAAAATGGAACTTCTTCAAAAGCAGTGCTGAACCAAATTAGCAGGGCTCAAGATTTATGACTGAAATTTCAAAATAAGTTACCCAGTCCGTGGGTAACAAAGTAAGTGCCGCCCCCTGTGTCTGAGAGGCAAACTCATACAGTCAGAGGGAGGGGCACCCCGCCCAGGGGAGCAGAGGGCTCTCGACCAGTCTCCTGTTGATCACCACAGCGAAGGTCCCCAGGAAAGGGAGTCTCTGATGATAGCAAAATGACAAAGCAAGGCCCTCCCGTGGGCTTCCATGAGTGCTTACTGACTTTCTCTCTTCCTGCCTGGCCCCATCCACTAGGAAGGGAAACTGACTTGAAGATGCAGGCAAAACAGTTGCCCCTGGGACTTCCCTGGTGGTCCGGTGGTAAAGAATCCGCCTTCCAATGCAGGGGACGCGGGTTAGATCCCTGGGCAGGGAGCTAAGATCCCACATGTCGCAGGGCAACTAAGCCCGCGCGCCACAACTACTGAGCTTGCGCGCCTCAACTAGAGAGACTGCGTGCCGCAAACTACAGAGCCCACATGCTCTGGAACCCGTGCACTACAGCTACAGAGCCCACATGCTCTGGAGCCTGTGCGCCATAACTAGAGAGAGAAAAAAACCCTGCATGCCACCATTAGAGAGAAGCCCGCGTGCCACAACGAAAGTTCCCTCATGCCTCAACGAAGGTCCCGCATGCCACAACCAAGACCCCATGCAGCCAAAAATAAATAAATAAATAATAAATCTGAAAAAAAAAAAAAAAAAAAAGAGTCTGCCCCTGCAGTATGTGCAGACAGGTGTGACACGGAGCCATGCCCTAGAGACTAACTCCAATCCACCATTTCATTCTAGCCCCTGAACCAAAGGGGCAATTGCCGGGATCAAATGGGGCCCGTTTAATTTTCATTAATTCATGCATATTTATTAGTCTCTATGAAACACCTAGATCCCTCAGCTTTTATTGCTGCTCCCTAACCGGCCCACTCTTGGCCTAACAGCAAATTGTCACAAATGAACACTTCTGGTTAACCCACGTGTGGGATGTGTGATGTTTATAAAGCAACCAGAGGAATCTGTTCTCAGACAACTTCATCTGCCGTAGGCGGTAGTAATTTTTGAGGTGTTTTAGCTCATTTGTTGATTTTCTTTGCTGATTCTTTAAACTTAACAGTTTTCATCGTCCAAAAGAATTCCTTTCTACTAAAAAAGTCTATAACATGCCCATTCTCCACCCTATCTCCCCCAAAATGAGTCTAAAGCCACCTTGAGGAGTCAAATTTATGGCTTATTTATAAACTTGTGTGGAAATGGACGTACTCGGCTGGCCCTCAGTCACCTCCGGCACGTCTGTCTACTTGCTGGTCCACCTGAGAGGGCACTGGAGAGCGAGAGCAGCTTCTAAGCTTGCCAGGTGGAAACACACCTGCTAGTCATGCTGCTTCCTGCAGAAGAGCATGACATATTTAAGAAATTTTTTTCTTTTTTTTTTTTTGCGGTACGCGGGCCTCTCACCGCCGCGGCCCCTCCCGCCGCGGAGCACAGGCTCCGGACGCACAGGCCCAGCGGCCATGGCTCACGGGCCCAGCCGCTCCGCGGCATGTGGGATCTTCCCGGACCAGGACACGAACCCGCGTCCACTGCATCGGCAGGCAGACCCCCAACCACTGCGCCACCAGGAAGCCCGAGCATGACATATTGAGATGTCCAATTCCAGCACAGGGTTCAGGAACAATTTTACTAGCAGTAAAAGAGGATGATGTTATATGTATATGTTAAAATCATGGCCGAGACCACACATGCCATAGAGAAACATGGGAATGAACCACACGTGATAAGCTATGGCTGAGTTTTTCCATCAGTGTTGTTCCTTTCTGTTCTCAGCCACTAGTGCTCAGTAGCAGACAGGTGACAGCACTTGCCAGAAGCTTAAGAAATTTTACAGGCAAAAATCGTGACGTCGAAGAAACAATCCCTTGGCTGTTTTGATTTTATATTTTTACAAATTGGGGAAAGATGGCCATTGTTTTGTCTTGGAGGAGAGAGTATAGCTGAGAGCCTCTGACTGGGTCTGCAGGTAGAGTCTTGGGGGTAGGGTGCCCTCGGGATCACTCCTCTACCTCCACAACATGCCCTCCATGAAATGTGCAGTCCGAGGAAGGAAGGTCACAAGAAGGTTGTTCCCTCTAACATGGCGCCCATGACAAGGGCCCATGGGTTACCTGAAATTTAGGACAGGAAAATGAAGAGTCTGCTAATTGTCCTAAAGCAACCCCCAGAGTTGGAAGACGGAGTATGAATCTTCCAAGGACAGACGAAAGGGCTGGCCTCACCCTCTCCACAAATACCCGCCTTTGGCCTTAGGCCTCATTGACTGGCCCTGGGAAAGCCCGGCCTGGCTTCTGAGCCATTGGGAGCCTTCATTAGGATTCTCAGGGAGTCCCAGTGATCTGCTCTTGAGGCCATGAGGGTCTTCATGCTCGTACTTCAGATGGCAACAGGCTGTGGCAGAAAGAAACCTGCCCCTGTCTGGGATCCACTTTCCAGACTCACAGCCCCCGACCACGCACTAGGGACTGCCTCTGTGATACACCTACACACAGGCCTGGAGTCCCCTCCAGCCTGCAATCCACCGAGCTGGGGACTGAGGTCTGCCTGTGTGTTTGTGGGAAAAGTGCGGGAGCCCAGCCCACGGTCCTGGATGGCTTTCATTAACTTACATTCAAACTTTCAAAGCAACTAGTAAGCTGCTTTCTTTCATCTTTGGATTCAGCCCTGGGTGTGGGTCTCTGAGCAATGCTAAGTCAGAGACACAAGTGGTTTGAATCAAAGAGGACTATTTAGGTCTCTCATTCCTTTTTGACAGTTGTCCCTCGGCTGACTTGTTCATAAACATGTGTGAGCACATGCAGAGACACACACACACACACACACACATACACAAAACCATACACCAACATGTTAACGACAATTCTCCCTGGTGAGATTAGAGGTGATTTTTTACGGTCTCCTTTACATTGTTTTTTCCAAATTTTCTACAGCGTGTTACTGTTATAAAAAGAAAAAAAATTAACGTTATCATGTTTTTGTTCTTGTTAGAGTCTTTGTGGGGATGATAATATTAATAAAAATGTCCTACTGAGGAACAAAACCAAAATATTTTTAAAAGAACAAAACACCCCATTTTAGCTTCAGGCTTCACAGTATTATAGGAGCCACGGCCTGCTTTACAGTAAACTGAATCCAAAGCTCATTCGTCATCAAGTGTGCACAGCAGGCCTGCCTGCTATGGGCCAGCCAGGTGCTGGGACACCAAGAAGAGACAGACACCCTGCCCTTGAGCAGCGCACACACTCATGGGAGACGGGCAGTGACAAGAGCACAGCAGAGAATAGGGACGCGTGAGGGCTTTGAGAGCATACGCCCATCTGATCCAAGATAGGGAGGGTGTGCTGCAAGTCGGGTAGGAGGCGGAGGTGACGGGTGGACAGGGGCTAGATGGCGAAGCGTCAGGTCCTAATCCTGTGGGCACCGGGAAGCCACTGGCGGGTTTTAGATGGAAAACGATGTGGCCGAATTTGTGCTTCAGAAGAATCCTCCAATAGCAGAGGGGAGGGTGGGCATGCCAGGGAAGGGAGAACATTCAAGGAAGCAAGGGATGCCAGGTGAGATGGTGAGGGTGTGGGATGTAGGGAAGCGAGAACATTCAAGGAACATCTAGGGGTCAGAGCCAACCAAGCAGGTGTGAGGGGAAGAGAGGAAGGAGTCAGAGTGATCCCAACAGGATGGGAAAAGAGGATAAGGAACTGGTTCTGTGTGTTCAGTCGCGGAGGCTGAAGGCAGCATAAAGATAAGCTGGGTTAGCTTTATGGGTTAGCCCAGCAGTGCTTTTCTTTCACTGTTCCCTCCCTAACCTAACCTTTGTACACTTAACCATCCTAAAATATATGTTTCCTGCAGTGGGAAGTCCACACAAAGGGAATTCTGTGCATTCTTAATTCTGTTTTGAACACGTAAAAAGTGGAAGCCTTCTTACATTAGGCGCTTCTACTTCGATGACATAGTGGGCAGGGACCACTCACCCCTTTTTGTGTCGACAGCAGAGACGGCCTGAATCAGAAGAGGTGCATTGGACTCCGAGTACTCCACAAACACCAGCAGCAGCTTCAGGGCCGTCTTCACCACCAGGCGGAACTGCAGAGAAAAGATACAACCATCGTGTAGCTTCAGACACGGCGGGGATGCCTGAAAGCTTCGTCCTAACAGCAGCTGGCACCCAGCCCCTCTTCTCAGCAATTACACAGATTCCTTCACTGGACGCCTCAGAAGGCAGGCGTTAGTATAGTCTCCATTGCACAGGTTAGGAAACTTGAGTGCACAGAGTCCCCTGCCCAAGATTGCACAGCTAGAAATAGAATCCGAATTTGAACACAAGGCCTTTGGCCCCAGAGCTCACACCAATGGTCTCTCAACAAACGAGGTAACGGCTGCTGGGTTGGTTACTTCATTTTATCCAGACTAGATCATTCTGAAGTAGAACCATCGATTCTCATTTTTCTGGAGAGGAAGCAGGCACAGCAGGTTAAATGACTTGTCCAGGGTCACAGTAGGTCACCTGAACCAAGTCCTGCCCTTAAAACTGCACAGAGGTCTGCCTGGGGCCTCACGCCACAGTCCTGGGCCCAGAGCACTGCACTCACGAGGAGCCACACGGAGCCCAGGGGCCCTCCCTCACGCGGGCCGAGGGTCACTCACCCAGAGAAATTCCACAACCTCCCAGCTGATGCTACCGCAGATCCCTCACTCAGCTCAGCAGCTGGGGGACTGTGGCAGCCTGGGGGTTCCAGCTCAGCTCCCTGCCCATTCCCGCAGGTGCTGCAGCTGCTACCTCCACCCACAGTCTCCTTTCCTGCACCCCACTTCCTTCCAAGAACCTCCTTCTCAGGGAACTCACACACCAACTTCCTCCTGGAAATGGGTTCAAATCTTGCTCCTGAGAAACAGCAAACCTTCCTCAGGGCTGCTCCTCCCACCTGCAGCAGGTGTCTGGGCAGTGCCCCGCCCCCCACCAGCAGAAAGCACTTTCTAGGGGACAGGGGCTGATCTGCATCGTGTCTGAAGGGCCTGGAACTACACCTGGCACAGAATGGGCTCAGCCATGTTTGTTCGCTGAATGAATGGATCAGGTAAGGACCAGCCAATCAGCCCACGTCCCCTCGCCCCACCCCCGTGGCTGTGGAGAATCGGCTCCAGGCTCTCCACTCACTCTGCAGCGCAGAAAGGCCCAGTGACCCCGTGGGCATCAGCTCATATCGAGTTATTAGGGGCGCGTGTACGCACTAGGGGAGAACTGGAGCCCTGCACACGCCGCGGGAAACAGCGGGAAACCACCACCCACCCACAGTCATTTCTCCAAATACATGCACCTCCCTCTACCCCTTGCCCCTTCTCCTCTGTCCTACTTCCCTAGTAAAGCAGCTGGCTTTTCCTTGATTCCACATCTCTCTCCAGCCAGTGCCCTGGTTCCCAGCTCCAAGTTATGGGAAAACATTTCAAAAGAGTTGCCACCCTCCCTGGCGCCCCTTCCTCACTTCCCACGGACTCCTCAATCCAATCTGACAGGGCTTCTACCTCCACCGCGCAGATTACATTACTCTTGTCAAGGCCGCTGATGACCTCCGTGTTGGTCAGTGCTTACTCTTCTGCGCTCATTTTGGCTCAACCCTCAGCAGCACGTGACACGATCAATGGCTCCCTCCAGAAGCAATTTCCTCTCGCCATGGCCGACCACAATCTCCTACCTGGGTGGCTTCTCCTCCAGGAGGAGCTCAACCTCCAGGTGTGGGAAGGCCTCAGAGCTCACTACTCCCCCTGCTCCCTCGCCGTGCATTCTCTCTAGGTGAGTTGATCCAGGCTCTTAGTTTTAAGTCCCATCTATGACTCAGTGCTCTCCAGGCCTGGCCCCTGACATCGCCACTCGAATGCTTACAGGCCCTCAAATTCAATATGGCCCAAAGAGAACTCTTGATTGGCACTCATGCTCATTCCATCCCACAGACCACTGCCAGCATGTTCCTTCCACAGCCCCCACCTCAGGACAAGGCCCCGCCATCCACTGAGTACAAGCGGGAGTCACCCTGCCCTTCCCCCACCCAATCCTACGACGACGTCATCGTCCAGGGCTGTCAGCGGCTGTCCTTGCCCTGACTCCATCCACATCTCCATCTCCCTGTCCACCATGAGAGCCTCCTAAGTACTTCTGGGCTTGTCACCATGAAGTCCATTCTCCACATTGCAGCCAGAGGGACCCGGGCACTCTCAACCCTCTATTCGCTCTGCGTCACATTCAGGGTGGAATCCACCCCTGTGGGCTTTGCGTCTCTGCCAAGCTCTCTGACCTCATCTCCTGTCACTCTCCCTCTGCCCACGGAGCTTCCATTAGCCACCTTTCTTTAGTCATGTGACCATGCGCTTTTCACACACTGAAGCTTGTGCATGACTCAGTGTTCTCATTGGCTATTCCCTAACCAGTCACCACAGGACTGGCCTTTCCTTATCCTCCAGGTCTGAGAAATCTCGCCTCATGGGAAGTGGCTTCCTGACTACTTCATCTAAAGGAGCCCCCTGGTCACTCACATCACCCTGTTCTATTTTCTTCACATCCTTTATCATGACCTGAAATCGCTACATACAAGTTTGTTCACCTGATGTTCCTCTGTTGCCCCCGACTAGAGCAGAACCTACCTGGTGGCGGAGATGCTACTTTATCTGACACACAGGAAACAGCATCTGCCCCGAGGAACTACTGGGTCAGTACTGCACACGAAGGGCAGGCCGGCGCGCCCTTTTCACCGAGGTCTGCTCTGCACACCCAACCACTAATGTATGTGGAGCCAGCCTCGTATCCCCCACTCCACGCCCCGACAACTTCACGGAGGACAACCAGCGTATTGGGCTTCTGTCCTCACGGCGACATCCTTATCGCAGTGGCACCTGAATTCTTGTGAGGGCTTTGAGCTCTTTAGAACGTTTTCAACTTCATAACCTGAGTCCCACATTCTCTGCTCTCCCTGACTGAGAACAGACTAAATTCCAGAGTATTTTTCTCAGCAGCTACAAGGTTGGGGGCAGGAGGGGAAGGCATGGCATGATGAACTGTGCTATCTTTGTACGTTGAGAGCTGAAAAAGATTTCTTCAAGTAAATAAAACAACCCAGCAAGCCCAGGCTTGGCGCCCTCCTCAGTGGGTACACTATTATTATGCGGTTTAAGCCTCCTCAGTGCCTTCGTGGGAAAGAACCTGGCTGCTGCCCAGCCCGCTCCCCCATCAGCTGGTCTCAGCAGGACCCCCTTCTGGGCATCTCTGTGGTCACAGGGCCTTGGCCGGCATGGTCCCAGGGACCCACTCTCCCATATGAGGCTCTCTAAGTAAGAAACCACTGACTGTTTTCCCAGGGAGCCTTCTTTCTCTATTAGTCTCAACATGCCTATTCATGTCATCTTCTCCTTTGCAATAAAGGCTCTGTTTAGAGATCTTTTGGCACTGTTATTTTATTTTTTTTAAATCCCTAAACTCTTCTGATTCATGATTTTAGGTTTCTACAAATTTGGCTTCTACTGAGTCTAAGTGGACATTTATTTATGTTTGGAAGACTTACTATGTGAAATTAATCACAAACATATTAGATAAACTACTTTAGAAAAAGAGCGTTAGCACGTTAATTTTATGGAAATGAATGGTACTGATTGCAAGCATGTCCCAACTAACCATCAAAATACATCCAGCAGGACTCCTCCTGACAAATACCTCACTAACATTACTGCACAGACTTGAAAGTAATAAAAGTACCTGACTTCAAAAGATTTCTACATCAAACCCTTACTTTTCCAGAAATCGCTTAATTTGATGCCCTCCAGAACCTGGAAAGCTATCAAAACCTTGGAATAGCCACAATGGAGGCCACACAGCCATTCCTCCAAATCCAAACATGCTGCTCATCTCAAAGCTCTTAAAAATCCACGCCTGGTGCCACAGCACTTATCCTAAGACACATTCTAACAGGAGTGGCCACTGAGCTTCCCGACCTGCTGAGAAGAAGCAAACCAGAGGCCAGTGATGGGTAAGGAGAGGCAGGCCCACTGTGGCGGCAGGAGCAAGGACCGCAAATGAGGGGGCGGGAACAAGCGGCTCGGATGCCAGCACACACTCCACTGCGTGGCTCAGACACTGAAGACTTCTCAAAGGGCAGTGACACTCCAAGGACACTTCATCTCTGCCTGGTGCTCCTTCATGTTCTAATGAGGGGTTTCATTGCAATGACTCACAGGCTCAAACACCGGCCTATCCATCTAGCACTGAGGGAAAATCAGTAAGAATAGATTCTCATTCCTGTGGAGCATCAATCGCTTGGGAAGACAAAGCAACTGGTCACAAAACAGTTAAACACGGCAACATGGAGTCAGCCTCAGAAGCAGTGGCTCTAAGACCAACCAGATGCTGGGGTAGTAGATTTCCCTCATCCAGAGGTTCTGAGTGGCCCTTGCTAAGGCTATTGCAGAAGGAATTCAGAATCCGGATGGGGTGAACTGGCTGAGCCCATTTAAAGTCCCTCTGAATCCCAAGAGGCTCTGCTTCTTCTTTCAATGTCTTGAGTGCCTTCCAGATGCCCAGCACCCAGTGAGGTTCCCTGAGGGAGTCAGGAAGCTGTAGCCCTGCCTTTAAGGAGATGGTCATCCTGCTGTGGAGAGAGGACTCAGAACACCTCCATACCACACAACTGAGAGCATTACCGTGTTAAGGGCCCTCCGAGCAAGGCCGCTGAGAACAGAGAGCGCTTCCCAGAGCAGGGCCCTTGCAGTGGGGAGAAGAGACAGTTGGACAGGCTCAGGGCTGATCCAGCCGCCCTTCGGGGCTTCCATGGTGCAGAAGAGCCGTGTGACAACCTGTGGGTTCCTGCTAACACAAATAAGCCCTCTTTTTTAGGGTTGGAGGAAACACACTGGGGGTCGAGATTCAGCCTTTGGGCTACACATTACCTACTTTTTATATACAGTCGACCCTTGAATAATCCTTTGAATTGCGCAGGTCCACTTATATGCAGATTTTTTTCAAAAGTAAGTACTACAGTATTACATGATCCATGGCTGGTTGAATCCACAGGTGCAGAACAATGGATACAGAACCGAGGATACAG